CACACACACACACACACACACACACACACACACACACACACACACACAAAGTTCTCTTTATGTTTACCTTTGATGATTCTTTGTTTAAGAAGGTCTACTTTCATGCCCATGGCTGATGATTATTGTGTTTCTCATTGGACCTTTCAGATTTTGTACCACATACAATCGATCAGTTTTTGGTTGTCTGTTGTTTACAGAGCTTGTATTGTTTCTCTCCCTATTTTGTTTTGTTTTTGTATTGTTTATGGCTCAGTTAGATGCAAAGAGTTCATTAAAAAAATAATGCTTTTGGTTCAGTGTTTAATGCACAGAGAGAGGACAGAGCAATTTAGAAGAAGGAAGGAGGGAAGGAAGGCAAATATGATACACAAGAACAAACAAAAAGCTGGGAGGGCTTATGTTCAGAAAACCTACTCTAACAACAACCTGTCCAAGACAGTCACCTGTACAAACGACCTCTTTACACCCCCCCCAATCAATTTTTGTCACTATTATAATGACACCGTCGAAGAAGAGGACCCCCTATCTAAGGTGTGGACTTCTCTCCTCAACAATGGGTGGGTGTCTCAGACAGGTTTGACTATATGTAATTGTGTGGTCATCTTTGGTTATCCTAAACGCTACCAGCCTCGTGGGATTGTTGTTTCCACTGAAACGATTTTTCTCTCCAGACCACAGAGTTTGCAGCACCTCCGCACCGCTATCAAAAGAATCGTGAGACGCGGCGAGGAGTGGGAGAGGTCAACAGGGGCTACCAAAACGATTATCCCGGGGACGACATGAGGCCGCAGCATCTTGGGACGGGTGACCACATGGTGCGCCAGCGAGGACGCCTGAGCTCAGCGTCAGATGAGTTTGTCATCACGTAGCATCAGCGATATTGTCTCATAGCGTCTCGTCTCATCAGGGATAATGTGATCTCATCTGTGATGTCATCTTGAAGAAACAAGAACAATACCGTTTTGTTGGGGCCACAAGTGTCAGCCGTTCATTAGGGTCGGCGATATCATCTTGGGCCACCTCATCCTCGATATTGTCTGATTATATCTGTGATGTTATTTTCTAGTAATGATACTGTTTTCACCAGGCCTGAGGAGTCTGTCATCTCGCAGCGTCAGCGATGCTGTGTTGTATGTCATCTCGCAGCGTCAGCGATGCTGTGTTGTATCTTCACTGATTTTGTTTCATCTTGTCAGAGATTGTTGTCGTGTTGTAGAAGATACAAGAATATCATATCGTCTTATCATATTGTTCTACAACAACAACAACAACAACAATATTGTTTCGTATTGTCTTGCTCTCGCACTGTGTATCTGAGACGGTGTTTCCTCCTCCCGTGAGTTTCACGAAAGAGATATACCATGGTTTGCTTGCAAACACTTTCCTGTGCCTGAAGCTGTGCTGATCCGTCTGTGATGAACTTTTCATGTTTGTTTTGTATTTTTTAACCCGCCTCCCTGAACTGACTTTCACCAAAGATTCTTCAATCTGAGACTGTGTTTTCCTGCTCCGGTGACCACAAATCTGTCTCTGACAGCCGACTCCTTCGTGCTGAGTGAAATCAAACAACAGCAGTTTTAATTTAGAGGTGTTAATGCTCTAATTGCTTACTATAAAGGAAAGGATGTGCAAAAGAGCAACACAATGATTATTGTAAGTGGAGTGGAAAAAAGAGTGGTTTTGGATAAGTTGTATAGTTTTCCTCTTGTGTCCTGCTATTTCTGCTCATGTGGCCACATGCTAGGGGTATATCTTTTACTAAAATGTTTTAAAAGAAAAAGAAGAAAAGAAAACAGACTTTCCACTTTATTTCTCAATTCATTATATTTTTTAAAAAGAAAGCTTGGTTTATACAAATATAATAACCATTTTTTGAGTAGAGAAGGAACAATGAATAATTACTCTACAAAATAATTCAATTCGACGCACAGCTGCTGGTTGCAGCAGTGTGCATAGCCCTATTTTTTAGCTTTAGCTAAAGTGTTTTGCTCAAAGACACCCTCTCCCCCCCCTATTATCACCTCACATAAAAACCATTGTAATGATACATTGTGAACGAATAATGAAGGGGAGATTACATCCACAAGTAAGGTGAAATTTCCAAATATTGTGTTGATATGCCAGATTACATAAGATGCTTGACTGTTTCATTATTTCTGAAATAATATTTAGAAGATGAACTCAATAAGAAAAAGCTTTTTTTTATGGTATTAGAAAAATATGAAGAGAATAAGAGTCCTGATAAACTTCACTATTGATAAAATATTTATCTATTATATATTTGGCAACTTGGAAACACATGTGTCACTTTTCCCATAAAAATACGACAGCTACAGAGTTGAAAGTTGGCATGTACCTGCAAAAAGATAGATAGGTCCCCATGACGAAGCCCGATTTTTTTATTTATTCATTTCCTGAATTAAGAAAAATATATTGAACAAAAGTTCCTGTCCTTCTTTGGCCTTTGTCTCTCTCCATGGTTTTAGGCACCCCGCATAATTTAGCAAAGTTTGATCATTTTTTGCATAATTTCTAATTATTTTCCTTTATCATTCTTTGTTAAAATTGACAAAATCGCATAATTTCTTATTTTTGGGCTCAGTTTGCATAATTTCAGAATTTTTCTTGCATAAAACGACGGGGACAGCTTTGTGATTATTCCACTGAGAAACGAAACATAGGTAGTGTCAGTGAAGCTACACACTATCTCAGTTTTGATTTTAAAAAGCAGCTGAAATATTTTCCAAGGTACGAGTAATATGAAGCTTGTCTTCTAACTGTTCCCTTAAGCCCTATGCAAGTTTTTGAGACATCATTTTTTAAACGCTTTTTATTTCAGTGTTGTCCATCTGTTCCTTCTCAAGATTCTCCCTCCACCCCCCCACCCCCCACCCCTCCCCCCATCCTTTTCTTAATCATTCGTCTGTTTTCATAATTAAGTAAAAAGTGTTGAATTTAAAAAAAAGAAAAACTTTTTTTTTTTTTAATGAGGACAATCAAAAGCTGTTGTTACAAAATGACCAGGTATTTGTTTTGTGACTGTAGAGGTGGAGAAGAAGTGAGGAGAGAATGAGGTCATTAATGCTGTATTGTCAACCTTTTTGTGTTAGAGCTGAAAAGAATATCCATTACTGTCTGCGACCTACTTAGTGGAGTGGCAATGCCCGAAATCGTGTTTGGGAGTGGTACTTTTGTTATTGATGTATGTACTCTTAAGATCTAGACCTGACCCGTGATACTTGCTGTTTTTGTTTTGTTTTGTATATATCTGTATGCCCTTGTTGAGTGTAAAGCATTCTTATGAAACTGGACACATGCTTGTACCTTTGAGGCCTCTGATCTCTCACCTATGCAAACTCAGGAAGATTTCATGAACAAAGCGCAGTAAAACCATGTGGAATGTTGCCTCTTAGGAACCCAACAATGCTTTATTTATTCACTCTTGCTCTAGCCTTTGTACGTGTAATGAAGTGTTGGGGGGGGGGGGGGGGAACTATGTCTGGATCTGGTGGTATTTCCTGAGTTTTACCGAGTTTTCTAGCTGCTTGTCTAGAGATTTGCTGCGTGCATGTGTGGGAGTAAACGGGGTCAGTCTCACTCTAAACCGAACGTTTTGTATTGTCACGCTCATGACACAAATCTCTAACAATTTTTTAAAGTTTGTAGTTCGTGGTAGATCCAAAATATCTGTTACATTATTGTATGGGAGAGAAGGTGGAAGGGGGGGGGGCGTATCAATGAGGCGGTGGGCATCGGATCGGCAGACAAGGGGGGTGGTTTTGGGTTTGACAGTTACTGATAGTAAGAGTGCATTTTTTCCTCACCCAGGTTGGCCCTGACAGGCAATGTTGAAGCCTGCCTTCTAATTATACATTGTAATCTAAATTTTCTTGATGGGGCATAAAAACATCTACATTTTTAAAAATTAAAAAATTACAAATAACATTCCTAAATGCAGCCTTTCATATTTGACTTTTGACCAGAATTTTTGTTCAGCTCCTTTCAATAGGATTTGAGTCTTTTGAAAGTGTGACAGACCCTTTAACACTTACAGTACCGTCGACAACTTAGGTCTCCAGGCCTTAGTATGCGCTCTCTACCACTGATGACTTTAGTCGCCAATGTAACCAGGCACACTAAACATAATTAAACAACGAATGGACACACTTCACTGAAGTAAATACCAAAGGAAGTCACTCTATATGATAACTGAATGGTTGATAAACCTCTCTGAATTTTTAAAGCTTGTTACTTGGGCTGCCAAGGTTTTTTAAATTTAAAAAGATTCTACTACGACTTCAGCATCCTAAACTGGTGTGGTACTTGAGGGTTTTTCTCTATTTTGAGCCTTCGCTACTGTAAGTGTTAAAGAGCCTTTACTCAGCCACCAGCAAATCTTTAGACTCATCTCTGTTATTTTGTACATCTAAGTGTTTGCTTACATTCCTTTTGGTATTGAAACATTCCTTTCAACTTGTTCCAATTTTAGATGGGTATTGTTTTATAACAAAACAAAAAAAAGGCAAAGCAATCTTTTCTTTGCTGAAATGTTCCTGTCTTTTTGTTAAATGTATGGTTTTGTTGAAACAAAAGCTAAATATTTCGTTTTCTGGTCCATGACATCATTTATGTACATACTCTGAAAGCTGTTTGCCTTGTACTGTTTAACATGACACAATTGATTATTTTTTCAATATTTTTGTTCAAAGCTCTATATTTACAATGCTTTTTACACGAATGAGTTTTATTTATAATGTATCCACTTATTCCAATTTATATTTTGAATGTAATGATATGTGTTTGCGAAGGAATGGTTGACTTTTTTGTGTGTGGAGGAACTAGTAAGGCAGTTCTGGTCATTCAACAATGCTTGAAGACAATCTGCTTTGGGGCACTTTAAATCAAGAAGCGGTAAGTTTTTGTTGTTTTCAGATTTTTCAGTTCTTGTTTTCTTTGTCTGAAACTTTAAAAAGGCAGGCATCAACAAGAATACTGTGAAATGCGATTTCGTATTCCTGATTTGTGTATGATGGTTTGAAATGTGCCGTATATTCCCTTCAGTCTTCTACTGATCAGTTATGCATGTTAGCTATGTCCATATAAAGAGTAAAATCTCTTTGAAAAAGAGGTCACATCTGATCTTGCATATCTCAGTGGGAGACACTTTTATCTTTTGATGTCCTTGTTGCTCTGCACAGTTTGTGCATGACATCGGACTGACTGTCTAGCTGCTGTCATTGGGAACGAGGAAGAAGAAGAAGCTCTGTTTTAATAATCCTGATGTGTCCCTTGGGAGAATATTTTTCGGTATATAGAATACATGTATGAATTTAAGGCTCTACCAGCTGCAAATAGGCCTTTGCAAGGTGAAAATTTCAGTCTAAATACGCTGTACAATGTGCATGTATTACAGTGAAGAAATTGAAAGAAGGCTGATATGGTGGTAGGCCAAAGTGAATATCGGGTGAGTACCTCTGAGCAGAGCTTATGCTAATGGAATTACCTGTACAAAGGCTTGGGCTGTGAAATGAAAGTCATGTAATACCCAGTGTAGCTCTCCACCTGACGTGATGCTTTGAATCCAAAGGAATGAATTCTCTGAAATGTTCTTTATTGGTTCTTTCATAATTTTAAAGATAGTATGTTTCCTGCTAAATGAAAAAAATGTTTTCTATTTGAATCACTTACTTTAGTTATCCAGACAGACACTCAATTTCCTCTCTACAAGACAAGTCTCCTGCAAAGTGTTATTCCCCCCCCACCTCCCGAGTGTTCTGATTGAAACTCCATGGTAGAGTAATTTTAAGGCCATAAACAAACCAACATTGTTCAAACCTCAGTCCATCACGTAGCCTTGTTTGCCTATAGAGTGTTCAAAATTCAACCCTCAATATCACGGCTTTGACTCAAGAGGCAATGAAACGTTAGAATAAAATGTGTATTTTCTCTTGCAGTCAGAAGTTCTGTTCTCTGCATACTTTACACATTTTATAATGGATCTCACCATGTTCACTGTCCCGTTGTCTTTGCACTAAAAACAGTTTTTGTACTGGTTTTCCCTTACTTCATGGCTACAGAACAGTTGACACCAAAGTGAAACATCTTTTATACATTTTTTTTTTTCGTTTAATATTTACCTTGAATTGTGCAACTTATGAATCTGTGATCATTGCGTCCATTTTGCCTGGTAACTGCTGATTGTTACTTGACCAAAGTCAGAGGGTGGCTCCAACATCTGGGTCACGCCACTTGAGGGCAGAGATGCTGCATCCCTGAAAAGATTTATATTTTTGTAAAATTTCATATTACTGTGAATGGAGTTTTAAGATGCTATTTTTTAACTTTCTGCGTGGGTCACAACAGGCAAAGTTTGCCAGTCGTTCTTCATCTTGTGTCATGTCTTGTGATGAGAGTTTGACCAGATTTTTGTCTAAAACTGTCAGTTGTTTTTCATCTGACTTTTTTAATGGGTTGGTTTATTTCTTTTGGTTTTTTTTAAGATTTTAATTTTCTTGACTTAGATCTTATTGCCATTGTGGAGAACTCTTTTGCTCTTTTTGGATATTCATTTGGCTTTTACTTTCTAAGAAAAGTTTGTGCCTTAGGTGACAGTGTAAGCTCTTGTTTTAGTTTTTGTTGCAGTTCTGTTTTCTGTAAGTTCGTGTGTTTCATTTTTGGTTCTTGTGTGCAATTAAGGTTTGCTAAATGTCTGACAGTCTATTTGTATGAGATGTTGTGAGTGAAGCAATAATATATGTACTGTTAGAGAGATGACAAGTAAATTCATTGACTA